GTTGACCAGGATGGTCTCGATCTCTTGACCTCGTGATCCACCCGCCTCGGCCTCCCAAAGTGCTGGGATTACAGGCGTGAGCCACCGCACCCGGCTATAAATACATTTCATTGTCTCACCAAACTCCTGGGTTGGTGAGAAATTTCAAGTCCAGAGTCGTGAAGTATCACAGGCACGGGACTTCACTTTTCTGCATCTTGCTTTCTTCATCCATGAAACAGGATCGTAATGTCCATCTCTTGGGGTAATTATGTGGACTGCTAATGCCAAATGCCACCCAACTGGCACCTCCTGGACCCTTAGCAAATGGCATCTTTTACGAGAAGCCGTATCAGCCTGGCACACAATGGTTAACCACCAAGTCTGGGCGGAGTGCCCGGCTAAGCTGGTGCCCAAGTGCAAACAATTTCTTTCATTATCCCAGTTGCTGGGAGAATTGGGCAAGGAGAGACCCATGAAATACCTAAGACAAAAGTTACTAGGATAGCCAGGGGCTTGTCTTCCGGGTGGCGCCGAGGCCAGGAAACTGTCCTCTCTAACCTCCTTCCCCAGAGGAGTCTAAATTGGCCCTTCCACTACCAGCAAGGACAAAAGAGAGGCTGGAGCCCCCAGGGGCAGCTGGAGTGCTGATGCTGCAAAGGGCCTCTGTCCTTCCCGGAGAAGCCCAGTCTTGCTCAGCTGTCTTCTTCGGCAACAAACAGAAGTCAAGAAAGAGAAATAGTTGTGGATGAACCTGTTGTTGGGACGATAATTTACTGAGCACCTACTACGTGCCAGGCACGCCAACCTTACCAGACAAGATCCTTGGGCTCATGGAATTCACTTTCTCGTGGGAGAGATAAACAATAAACACATAGAAACATTATCAGCTGGTGGTAAGTACCGTGACGAAAATTAAAATAGGGCGATGGCATTGGGAGGGGCTTAAGGGGTCACTACGCAGTGGGATGGTCGGATGGTCGGAGATGGCCTCTCAGGAGGAGGTAACATTGAAGCTAAAATGTGAATGACATAAACAGATGCAGGATAGAGCATTCAAGCAGAGCATGTGCAAAGGCCCCCGAGGTTGAAATAAGCTAGATGCATTAGACTAGGGGTTCTCAAGCAAGGGGAATTCTGCCCCTTAGAGGACATAGCAGTGTCTAGGGAGATTTTTTTTTTTTTTAATTTTATTATTTGAGATGGAGTCTTGCTCTGTCGCCCAGGCTGGAGTGCAGTGGTGCGATCTCGGCTCACTGCAACCTCCGGCTCCAGGTTCAAGCGATTCTCCTGCCTCAGGCTTCTGAGTAGCTGGGATTGCAGGTACGTGCCACCATGCCAGCTAATTTTTATATTTTTAGTAGAGACAGGGTTTCGCCATGTTGGCCAGGGTGATCTCAAACTCCTGACCTCAAGGATTCTAGTGCAAGTTGTCTTTTGTGGACAC